CTTTGTAACCCAGGCTGGTCTCGAACTTGCAGCGATCCTTCTGCCTCAGCCTCCCGAGTGCTGGGATTACAGGCGCGCACCACCACGCCTGGCTATTTGCTTTATTTCTGTTTGTTCTGGGAAGTTTTTTGGTGGCAGGAGATTTTAAAAACCCTTCACTGGGGTATGGATGTGCCTTTTGTTATAATTTAGTATTAAGTTTTTCATAATACGGAGGAGTTGAACTTTAATCCAGCTTTAAAAATGATCAAGCACTTGGGAGGCTGAGGCAGGAGAATTGCTTCAAGGTCGAGGCCAGCCTGGGCTACATAGTGAGTTTAAGGCCAGCATGAACTACATAGCAAGACCCTGTCTCAAAAAACAAACAAACAAAAAGTGATCATGTAATTTTGCCTGCTTTGTTTTGTTAATGTATATAACACTAAGTGACCATCAAATGCTAAACTCTTAGATTTGAACACGTCATGATATGTATGAATTTTTAAAAATCTAAATCTGATGTTGTTGGTCATCTCTTTTTGGAATACTGGCTCTGTTTTCAGGGGAGTTAATGACACATAGTTTGATTTTCTTCTTCTTTTTTTTTATTTTTTGTTTTTTGGTACCAGGAATTGAACTCATGACCTCAGGCTTGCCAGGCAAGCGCTATGCCACAGAACTATATCCCCAGCCCTTGTTTTCTTCTAATGTCCTTGTATTAGTATTTCTCCCACTGATGAGATTTAGATGTGTGATTCTATAGCTTCACAGGATGACATTGCTAATTAACAGTGACACTTTTTTTTTCCTAATGTAGAAGCACACAGAGCTATAAAATGCTCTGTAACTTCCACTTTAACTGCACTCCACAAGTTTCGTGACAATATATTTTTCTCATAGCTCATTTGTTTTAGCTTTGTCTTCTCAGAGGCTGAGAAGTTGTTTTTAATGATACCACTTTTTTCACTTTATTTTGATGTTTCTGAGACTGGATCTCACTACACTGTTCAGTCTGGCCTCAAACATGTGTAGTCCATCAGTCCTTCTGCCTCAGGCCCCTGGGCACCTTGGCACAAGCCCCTCTATGCACCTATCTGTTGAAATCAGTGGAGAAAATCTTGGGTTACACTTGTATGTTAATGTCTCACTTTTCTCTTCCTCCAACCCTGAGTAGTACAGATGTACATGGCTGCTGGCCTCTCCGATTTTAATCTCTGTAGGACTGAAAGGTAGAGGATTTCAGTCTGTGCCTGCACCCTCCATTTATATGGAGCCTTCTGCAAGTGCCACTGAGCATTTGCTAATGATGATTTTGATTAAGTAGGGACTAGCAAAGGCATGATACCGCCCAGGAAGAGTTGACACAGAATGGTGAGTACTTCCTCAATGAACTTGGTGCCCATATTCCATTTGGTTGATGGGATTCACTGACTCTGACAGCATTCTGATGAACCCTGTGCCACATTAGGCTTTAGACAAAACCTTGTACGTTTACTTTTCTCCTTTTCTCACCTCTACTGGATTAAAGCTTCCTGCTTTTCCTGTACACAGGGTGTCTGTTGGGTCATGCAAAACCTTGGCTCTTGTTTGGGACTTTTATTAACGAGGCAGGAGCATGACTGTCGATACATAGGAAACCTATTTGCAATTTTGGGGTGAATAGATTTTGTTATAAGTAAAATACATTCATCAATGTTTTTCAGGAAATGATGACAGAACCAGATAAATCTGCTGTACAGCCTGATGTGGACCTGGAACCTGTCAAAGATGACAGTCATCCTATTTCACCTAAGAGGAGGTGCACTGTGTCCTCGCAGCCGGTGATACAGGAAGGAGGGAGTGAACCCTCTTCTGAGGACTGGACCATATCCTTGAAAGAAGGTGACTGTGTCTTTGGTGGGTGGACAGGGACCTGCATGTGTGCAAGTGGAGGGGCAGCCATGAGAGACCAGGGAAGTGCTGGGAGTTGCTGCAGGAGATCAAGCAGATGAAGTAGCCTCTCAGCGGTAGGAGGGGATCAGCTGTAAGGGAGGACAGTATGTAGCTCCCCGCCTGCTGTGCAAGCCTTCTCCTCCCGGGACGCCTTCCTCCATCCTGGCACCAGCTTCCTGTTGTAATGCAGTGTTTTTGGCCTCCTGCTTCCTCCACAGTACCCAACGGGTTGTCCCTGTGGTTCACAGTGTTAGCTGCCATCACCTTTTATTTCTCAGAGGCAGCTGGCAGAGTTCTTCTCTGCCTCCTTTATGAAAACTTCCTGAGATCTACATTCTTCACAATCTTCCCCTTATTGCTTCTCCCTTCTGGTGAATCCTTGCAGGTTTTTTTACCCCCTTGCCTCTGCATTTTTTGTCCACTCCAGTGAGTTTTATATTTTGTGGATCTTTCCATTTTCTTCTGTCCTTCTCTTCCCCTCTGACATGACCGTTCACCAGTATGCAGTATAGCTTCCTTTCTGATCTGCCTGCTTCTGTTCTTGTTCCCTACTCACCTATATTGTCTTCCCCTGCACCCAGAGTTGTCATGTGGAGAGGGAAATAAGGTCAGGCTGCATCCTTCTGGATGACATGTCCTAAGCATGCACAACAGAACCTGAACTCATTACTTTGGTCCACAGACTCAGCCCGGCTTCACTGTCACCTTCTCCTCACCATGGTCCTGATGATCTTTTCCTTGCTCTCTCTGCCTCTACCCTTCACTCTGTGGCCCCTGGTTGGGCCTCCCTGCCCCTTCCGCTGCCCTAACCTTTGCCACAGCCTGCACCCTTCCTCTGTATCTGCACTGGCTGCTCCATCTCTTCTTCTTCTTTTTTTTGGTGTCAGGAATTGAACTCAGGGCCTTGCACTTGCCAGGCAGGCACTGTGCTGCTGAGCTACATCCCCGGCCCTCCATCTCCTCGTCAGAGTCTGCTCAGGGGACACTTCCAGGAAGGCATGACCACTGCCTAAAGGCCCTGGAGGTCCCCTCTGTGGGTCCCTCTCCCAGCCCGCCCCCTCCTTCCCCAACAAAGCTCCAGCTGGGGTCGTTGTGTGGCTTACCTTCCTGCCTTCCCCGTGGCACCATCAGATCCAGAAGCACAGGAACAGTTTCTGACCAGCTGGCTCACTGCTGCTCCGTAGGTCCAGGAATAGCAGAAAATGAGTACATGACACAGATGGGAAGGAAACGCACTTCTTTCACACAAGGTAGCACGATGAGTAAAGTCATATTCAGAGAGGGATTTCTAGTCGTGCGGAGCAAGTGTCACACATCTTGACCTCACATGGAACTTCCAGCTTTTCAGCATGCAGAGTGAAGCATCGCAACACTGCATCATGAGAGACAGATTGGTGATGGGTTGCTCCTCTATTGTCCTGTACAGCTGGGTTCCTTCTTGCATTCCTTGAACCAGAAAACTACAAGGTAGTTTTTCCTGTATCCTGAGGTCACCTTGCCAGGTTTGAGGTTTCTCTGAGGTGTACCCTCCTGTTCTGAAAGACATAATTCTAGACGAGGAGGAGCACATATATGTCTACATGGGGCTGTCAGAATGCACGTTCCTCCTTAAAGATTCTCATCTTGATTTCCAGATGCTTCTGTCTGTTAGGATGCCCATGAAAAGATGGGGAGTAGTGTCCTCTTAGTGACATATGCAAACCCAGTTTACTCCTCCCCTGACACCTCTTTGTTGATGTGTGACCCAGCAGAGTTCAAGGATTTGGAAGAAGGGTTCAGAGTTACAACCGAAGCCCTGGATCAGCAGTCTGACAACTCCAGCGGTGACGGCGAGGTTGGGCTGCCCTTCAGTTCCTCAGTTGAAACAGGAATCGGTGTGAGAGGCTTTTCTGCTGATGCATCTGTCATCCCAGTGATCCCTACATGGAATGTGGTGTCCCATCAGCTGACAGTGAGCCCACAGGAAATGAATGCTGATATAAAACGTCAGCTGATGAAGGGAATTCGGCAGTTTGGACGAAGTAAGTAGTGGGCAGCATGCCTAGCAAGAGAAACACACAAACACTCTCTCAATCAGTGATTTCAGAGAGCTTGAGCTACCTCAGGAGCATCATCCTCTGCCAAATTGAGTTTTCTGTACTTAAGGATGGTTCCTCTTTACTTTTTAAAATTTTCTGTCTTTTTTGTTTGTTTGTTTGTTTTGTACCTGGAATCGAACTCAGAACCTTGCGCTTGCCAGGCAGGCACTTTGCCACTGAGGTATATCTCTGACCTCTTTTTTAAATTTTTGTTTTTACAAATTCACATATAATGATTACTTTCGTCAGGGAGAGTTGGTGCATGTGTGTAATACAGGTTAATTATTTTTTTAAACACCCTTCTCCTCCCTTTTTTCCCCTACCCTCCATTTCGTGGTCCCCTTTCCTTTGCAAAAGAGCTATCTCCCTATTTTCTATTATCTGTGTATTATTTTGTTCTTTAATTTATGTGTACTTTGACTCTCTCCTACTAGGGAAACCAGGCCACATTTAACCTTCTGTGTCTGATTTAATTCATTTAGCATTATAGACTCATGGTGCATCCATTTTCCCACAAATGGCTCAAGTTTATCCATCTTTTTGGCAGAGTACTTCTCTATTGTGTATGAATACGTTTTCTTTATTCATTCCTCTGTTCATGAACATACACACCGTTCCCGTTTTGGCTCATATGAGTTGTGCTGTTATAAAACTGGGTTTGCATATGTCACTAAGAGGATGTCTTTAACTCTCTCAGGAAGATATCTTTAAGTGATAGCTGTGGGTTTTTCTTTTGTTTTGTTTTGTTTTGTTTTGTTTTGTTGGTCTTCTTGAGACAGGGTCTCACTATGCAGTTCAGGCTGGCCTTGAGCTCACTTTGGAGCCCAGGCTGGTCTCGAACACGCAATGATCCTCCTGCCTCAGCCTCCCGAGTGCTGGGATTACAGGGGTGCGCCACCATGCCCGGCCTGGTAGCTGTGTTGTATAGAATCTCTACTTTGAGTGTTTTGAGGAATATCCATGATGATACTCATAGTGGTTGTAATAGTTTACATTCGCAACGACAATATAGTAGGATTCCTTTTCTCACACAGCCTCACCAGATTTATTATCATTTGATTTCTTTATAATAGATACTCATTCTGGGGTAAGGAGGACTCCCAGTGTTGTTTTAATTAGCATTGAAATGGGCAGAGATGTTGAACACTTTCACATGTATTTATTGCTGCTTTGTACTTCTCCTGAGAATTCATTTCAGGCTCCCATTTTCTGATTAGGTCTTTTATTTTAGGGAACTAATTTTTTTACTTCTTCATGTAGTCTGGATATTAGACCTCTGTCTGAGGAGTAGCCAGCAAACATTTTTTTTTCCCATTCTGTAGGTTATCTCTTCACTGTGTTGATGGTTTCCTTTGCTGTACAGGTTTTAATTTGATTTCATTTCATTTGTTGATTCTGTTTTTATTGGTACATGTTTGTGGCACATAATGATTACATTTATCACGGAGCATTGGTGCATGAACACAGCACACTTCAATTCTTTTTTTCTTTTTTTTTTTTTTGGTTTTTCTCCGGTACCAGGAACCGAACTCACGACCTTGCACTTGCCAGGCAGGTGCTTTTGCCGCTGAGCTAAGTCCCCAGCCCCCACTTCAATTCTTTTTATTCCCTAAACTTGTTCTCCCTTGCTGCTTCTTCCATCTCTTGGTGCCCTTCCCTTTTGCAAAAGCTCTGTTTCCATTTTTTCCCTTCAGTTCTTTTATTCATCCCCTTTCCTTCCTCTCCCTATCCTCTTGCTCCATATGTTGATCTCCTTCCCATTTGAAAAAGATCACCCTACTTCTTTTTACATTCCTTTTATTTTGCACTTTATTTATATTTTAGGTTTCTCATGTAAGAGAAACCATGCAATATTTATGCTTGTGTGTCTGATTTATTTCCCTTAGCATTATGGTCTCAGGATGCTTTGATTTATCTACAAATACCTCAAGTTTATCCTACTTTATGGCAGTGTAGTATTACATTGTGTGTAAATACCGCATTTTCTTTCTCCATTCATCTGTTGATGGGCATATAGGTTGTTTCCAATATTGAGATATTATAAATTGTGCTGCTATAAACATGGGTATGCATGTATCACTGTAGTATGATGTCTTTAACTGTTTCAGGAAGATACCTAGAAGGGAATCAGTGGGTCAAATGGAATTGCTAGGTTTAATTTTTTGGAGAAAACGTCATACTAGTTTCCATGGGTACTGTACTAGTTTACATTCCAACGAAAAATGTAGAAGTTATAAGATGCTTCTTTTTTTTTTTTTTTTTCTTTTGAGACAGGGTCTCACTATGTAATCCAGACTGGCCTTGAATTCACTTATGTAGCTCAGGTTGGCTTTGAACTCATGGTGATTCTCCTGCCTCAGCCTCCCAAGTGCTGGGATTACAGGTGTGCACCACCACACCTGGCTGCGTTTGGTAACTTTTCATGGACTCTTGATTTTTTGCTAAACTGTTCATCTACAGTTTATATAATTTTGTTCAGCTGAGCTGGTTTTGTGTGTGAGTATGTGAGTGTATGTGTAATGTGTGTCTTCTCTAAACTCACCATTTTGTTTATTAAATTCATTATCTCTTTAGTTGTATCTTCTTTGAGCCAACTGAACACTTTATTGAACTCTTTTCTAACCTCTTCTTTTATTATTTCAAATAATCCAGTTGTCTGGATTTTGATTTCCTCTCCCTTTATACCCCATGGATCAGCTCTGGGGGTGTTCAGTGTTTTAGGAGGCATTTTGTAGTCTTGTCTTCTCAAGTTTGTGCTTTCCTTGTAGGTGGTTATGGTGGGAAGACTGTTACTAGTATGGTGATCCCTTTAGTCAGTGTCTGCTTTTCAGTGATCCATTCTGGGTGTGTTTAACTATAGGCGTTGCCTCTTGTCTTAAACTCAGACCACTTCCATTTATTGAGGAGGAGAGGATGCAGTGTAATTGTCTCAGAACTGAGTTCTATGGGAATGGAACACAGGAGGAAAAGAAACACAGAGAGAAGAAAGAAAAATAATAAAATAAGGGCAAAAAAATACAATTAAAAGGAAAAGTAAACAGAAAAAAAAAAGGAAAACACACCTCTAAACTCCAAAAAAACTAAAGAAAAATTGAAAAAAGAAAGAGTCCAGAAACATTCTTCTTTGTTTTTGATTGACTAGTTTCTTCCAGGGTCTTCAGTCTTGGAATCCAGTAGATATGGGCTAGGGATAGTGAGTTACTTCTCAGTCCTATTTTATTTCCACACTCATGTTTTTTTGTGTGAATGCTAGATCCTGCCTTGCCCTTTCCACTAGGCATATTTGGTCAATAGTGCCCACCCTCCACCTGTGGTCACTCCAGCAACTAACTCTGTTTCTGTGTCTCTCTGTGCGCCCCAAGTCTCGGTTGTGTCCTGTGGGTTTTTGAGGCAAGCCCTACTCCATGGGTCCCTCTGTCTGTACACCCCAGGCTGTGACAACCAGCCCAGCCATGCCATGCTCCTGCTCGTGTTGGTAGATGAGGTACGCAGGCAGACCACTGAGTTCTATATTGATGTAGGCAGTGGGGCAGATGTAAGAAGTCTGCTGTGTTTAATGCCGGCACTTTCAGAGTCAGTTCCCTCTGGAAGCCATAGGAGCCCACCCTGGCACCTCATCAGAGAGGTGAGGGCCCTGCTTCCTTTCTGGCCTGAGCTTCACCTTCTCAGGGGGGCTGTGTCCACTCTGTGCCCTCTCTACTGGTGTCTCCCAGGGCTCCCTCCAACCCAGTCACTGGCAGGATGACACCTGAAACCCTGGAGAGTAGCTGCTTTGTGGCTTAGTTCCAAACAATAAACCTCTTCCCAGAATGGCTCCTGATTAAACTCACTGTGATCCCTTGGGCACTGTACTGGACTTCTCCAATTCCAACCTGCCTTGCAGGAGTCACTTTCAGAGTAAAATGCTATGCTGTTTTGCATTTTATAATAGCCGTAGGAGTCTGTTGAGGCCAGTGCTGCCAGCCAGCTCTGCTGTCTCTCCTGGAGCTGCTGTTTCCTTCCAGGCTTGCCCTATGTCAGTGGAGGCAGGACCCCTCCCCAGGAGCTAAGGTGAGTTCTGCAGACTGCTTTGCTGCTTTGTCTGTGCTGCGCCCCATCTCTTCAGCTTCTGCAGTTTTCATTCTTCCTGTCACCTCCAACCTAATTCCCAGAGACTCACCTCTTGCCTTCTCTTCACCAAGTTCTTGTCTTCTAGATGTCTTGAATCCAGGGTACTGGAGAGCCTGCATTTTGCTTCCAGTCTCGGCTCTGCCATCTTGGTCCTTAATTGGGTCCTTTTTTTATTACTATAATTTTTCAAAAGCCACTTTCCCTCCATTTCTCTTTTTGCTTCTTATTCCCTTTAGTTTCTTATTTTTTATTTTAAAGAGAAAAAAATCAAAATTTCAAAACAAGATAATAGGAGGGTAACAATGGTTAATACATTGTGTATTGTTATCTTTAAATTAGTTACACGGAGTACAAGATATAGGCATTTTGGGCCAGAGATGTAGCTCAGCAGCAAAGCACCTGCCTGGCAAGCACGAGGTCGTGAGTTTGATTCCCGGTCCAAAAAAAAAAAAAAGTCATAGGCATTTAATTGTCCAAACAATATTACCACAAAACTTTCTTGTCAATGAACTAAGAGAAATTAGAAGTATAACTAGTCTACTATATATATATATATATATATATATATATATATATATATATATATATATGGCATTACCCTTGTTTTCTCCTTTCCCCATCCCAGTTCCTCTTTCCTTTTGAAAAGTTTCTTCCCATTTCACAATATCTGCTGTATATTTCGGATTTTATTTTTTAACTTGGTTATTATTTACAAAACTTTCATGTGTACATATATGCAGGAATCTCAACTGAAGCATTCAAAACCCATATACATTCTATAACATCATTGCCCATAAAGCATGAACACTGATAGAGTAAGATACAGTTTTGTTTCCTCTATTTTTGAGATATACTGAGATATTTTTGTTAATATTTTCAGAATATGAAAGGATTTTCAAACTACTTGATCAAGTGCAAGGACCTCTGGAAGTCAAGAAACAATTTGTCGAATTCACCATCAAGGAAGCAGCAAGGTGGGTGGACACTGGAACTGCAATTTCTTTTCACAATGGGGCCAGTGCATTGCCAGGGACCAGAGAGGGGGGAAAGATCCCACCTTCCTGCTCTCAGGCCCTGGCCCCCACTCACAGTTGAGGCTGGCTCTGCTTTTACTTGCATTGGTGGTGTCTGAAACAAGCTCATCCTTCCATGCCCACTCAGCATAGTCTGAGCTGGGTGTTGATCCACCACAAACTCTCTGGGTTTATTGGACAAACTCTTACCTTGTGGATACACTCTCTGTTTCCAGGTAGATGGTGAGCTCCCCTTTTATAGACAGCCCTTTCCAGGTGGTCCTGCACACCCTCTCCGTTCTCCCCAGCTCCCTCCCCCGTCACTGGTTCTTTGGGTGTCTTTTTCTGAATGCCATGTCTCTTCGTTGTCAGATTTAAAAGACGAGACTTAATTAGGAGGCTGGAGAAGAAGCTGGAGGAAATAACTGCCATCTGTGTCGCTGAAGAGGAAGATTTCTATTAGTATGTATTCCTGCTACCACAACGATCAGTGAGAAAGGAGCACCCGTTTGCTGTGCTTCAGAATGTAGCAGGATGTTGCTGAAGTCTCGTGCACAAGTTAAAGAAGTGTTTTCCAGAAGTTAAGAACAAGTGATGTTTCTGTTAATAAAAGTTGGGCCGTTGCCCTAAGAATTGCTTTGAAGGGGTGGTTTCCTTTTAATATAAGGTGAAAGATGTTATTACACTATCGCTTTGGTGTCTGCAGCGTGTCCCAAAGTCATGGCCGTGTCCCAAAGTCACGGCCGATACTAGTATCTGTCTTCTCTACTATCCATTTTGTAAAATTCTATTTGCACTGAGACAGCTCCTCAGGAGGTCATGTTGTGTGAGTTGGCCGGATTACTCAAACCCTTTCTACTGAAGATTATTTCCAATTACATGCTGTGCTGAAATTGGGTTCTTACAATTTTTTATTACATCACAAAACAGTAGTACTAAAGTGGGATTTTGGCGTTCCACACATTTGTCTTTAGTCCCTGTTTAGTAGTGTCCCAGTTCCCTTTGTTAGTAAGGTTCTACGACCCCACAGATGATGGAAGCCTACCTTATCTTTTGATGGAGAGACAGTTGAGCAATGAGAGTGATCAGCTTGTAACCTCAAGTTCCATTTTAATGGATTTATCTTTAAGCTCCCTGCTTAAAACACTTATCTATCAAAATACTTGTAAAGATCTTTAGTTCAGCAGAGACAAAAATTGTTGGGACAGGAAATAAAATGTTCTTGTAACAATAATAGTGACAGTAACCCCTCACATTATCCCCTCTGCTGCAGACATGAGTGTGGACGTATACTTGATGCTGAGGGGGAGCATTGCTACCTCCTAGATTATACTGATTTAGGCCCTAAAGGTGCGCTCTCACAGTATAACTGTAACTGAAGAAGCTTCAAAAATCATTTCAGTGTTTGTTTGAGCCAGCCAGTTAAAAATGATGAGGAACCTAATAAGACTAATGAGTGTGTTAGCACGAGCTCACCGCTGTGCTCCATTTCCTCTCAGGGAGGTTCATATTTGGGAGTGATGCAGTGTGGAATACTATGACAGTAGATATGGCCTTTCCTAAGGCTACAGACGGTTTTCTTAGCATACAGTGTGTGGGAATGAAAATTCATAACCAGAGTAAGTGTCTACTGAATTGCAAACAAAAAGCTGCCTTCTCCCTGACGGGGGGTGGATCAGTATAATCAAACTGCCGCCTGGACGCTGACTGACCCTTCAGGGCGATGGTGCCACATTGAGTGTTCATCGTTGCCCTCTGCTGCTGGCACATTGGACAGATGGCAGGGACTATGCTGACACCAATCTTGGTGAATGGAAACATCATTATGGGCCTGTGTATAACTTCCATCCCTGACTCCATGACCATGTTGCACCACTCTTCCTGGAAGATAAAAGACTAGACCTAAGGAGATATGTGGATGGTCCTAGGAGCCTAGAGTGGCTTCAGCATATAAAGCAAGGAAGTGGGGACCTCTACCCTACAACCTTAAGAAACGATCTGCATGAGTTTGAAAATACTCTGCGTTTTAGTCATGATTCCTTAGACATCCAATAAGATAGAGAAAGATGTGCGAAGAGATTTATTACAGGAATTGGCTCACCTGATTATAGAGGCTGAATGGATGTTATGGGGTCTGGTCAGTCTGCCAGCCAAAGGCGTGTGTGCGCCCATGCATCCAGGACCCCGCCTGTCCTGCGTGTCCTAGGTTCTCCTATCTTGGTTTGAAATTTTGTATCTTTTTTTTTTTTTTTTTTTTTTTTTGGTCTTTTTGAGACAGGGTCTTGCTATGCACTTCAGGCTGGCCTTGAGCTCACTGTAGTCCAGGCTGGTCTCAAACTCACAACGATCCTCCTGCCTCAGCCTCCTGAGTACTGGGATTAGAGGCGTGCGCCAGCACGTCTGACTAAATTTTGTATCATTCTTTTTAGTGTTTTTTCTCTTGAAAATAAAAAATATATGTAGAGAGAGAGAGGCTAAAAAGTTGCACAATAGGATATCAGGTTGGAGAAGCAGAGAATCCTGTAGCATGGGCCTAAGTCTCAGGGCCTTAGGACCAAGGAAGCTGATGGCAGAACACTTAGTGCAATGCCAGGGACCCAAGGGGAAGGCGGTCTACTGGAGAGGGGTGCTTGGTAAGAGCCTGAAGTGTAGCAGCCGGAGAACCTGTCTGCCATCAAAGAACAACCGAAGACGTTTGTCCTCTGTCCAGATGACAGAATTCACCATTCCTTTGCTTTTTTACCAGATGGTGTCTGTCCACACTGGGAGCTCATCTGCCTTCCGACGACAGTCTCACATGCCAGCCTGAGCTGGGCTCACCCTCATGCGTACGCTTGGGGCAGGCCAGTCATTCTAATCAAATGCCCCATAACCTTGGTTTCCCTTTCATCCGAAGAGAAATGGGCTCTGTGCCTATGGAAGCATTGAGAATAATTAATGGTTTACCAGCTATTTGGGTGTCCTTTAATCCAGTCAAGTGATACCACAAACATTGTATCCTTGTAGTCACCAGCCTGGTAAAGGCTTGATTTTCATTTTGTGTGACCCTAAGCAGAAACACCAATTTAACCTGCCAGGATTTCTGACCTTCCAAACTGCTGGATAATCTATCTGTGTTATTGTAAACTGCTAAATTTGGTGTGATTTGTTATGTAGCAACAGAAATCTAATACAAGAGGTGGTTATTGAGAAAAAACGTCTGAAAATCAGGTACACTGGTTTTTTTCCCTTTTCCTATCAATTGGTCACAAGGAACTTCTCAGGAAGCCACTTTCTCTTGGTCTGAGCCTCATTCTATTTATTTTTATTTTTTACTTTTTGGTACCAGGAATCAAACTCAGGACCTGGTGCTTGCTGGGCAGGCGCTTGTGGCACTGAGCTGTATCCCCAGCTTTTTTTTTTTTTTTCTGGTACTGGGAATCAAACTCAGGATCTTGCACTTGCCAGGTAGGTGCTTGTACAGCTGAGCTATATCCCTGGCCTGAGCCTCATTCTAAACTAGCAGGTTTTCTTCTCATGTATCAATTGGTCAAAGTATCACAGAAAGTAAGGTTTATGTGTTACTACGCACATCTGACAGGCTAACTTGTTGCCATGGCCTCTTTTTTTTTTTTTTTTTTTTTTTTTTTTTTTTTTTTTTTTTTTTAGCAGTTTAAAGAGTGAGCTATACAGATTTGCTCTTCATCTTATTAATACTGTCTTCTTGACATGCCCCTAGCCTACTACTATCATTAAAATTTTCACTGATTTGGAAGGCTCTGGTTTTGTGTGGAAATGATTTCCCACACGCTATCTAAAAATGTGTTGTCGACTTATGTGGATTCCTTATTCCTTCTTCTTCTTTTTTTTTTTTTTTTGGCTTTTTCTCCGGTACCGGGAACCGAACTCACGACCTTGCGCTTGCCAGGCAGGTGCTTTTGCCGCTGAGCTAAATCCCCAGCCCCCCTTATTCCTTCTTAATCAGAATAACGCCATCAGTATGACAGAACATTGTCATGTGTGGTGTAAGGGAAATATAATCCAGATCCCAAAAGACTACTTCAGGACATAAGCCTGGAGAGTTGATACAAGCCTGAAGTAGTATGTGAAGATTTACTGCTACCTTTTCCAGGTGAAGCTGAATTATTCTTTGTAATAATTGCTAAGAAAGGAAAAAAGCATTTATAGAATCAGTACTGTATATCAAGTTTTCAGGGAATGTGTTCATTGCCATGGCAACAAAATCACAAGTAGAATAGCAGCTGTACTTGAAATAATCAGATTTGGTTTATGAAAATTGCTTATCATTCCTCAAGATCAACAGTTTCCCTGACAGGACGAGTGGGAAGTGGAAGTGGATGGCCTGACTCCCATACACCCCTGCTCTGTATGGTGACATTTTGGCATCCTTGAAATTAATGTCACTCAGATCCAGTATCATATGTCTGAGAATTCTGATTGATTGACCTCCCACCATGCACTGAAACTAATAATTGTTCACAGGTGCATTTGAGGAAGGCTGGGACAACAGTTAGCGTAAATACCTGTTATGGTGTATTTGTGCGCTTCCCGTTAACTATAAATCCCTGAGAAATTTAACTTACAAGGGGAAAAGGTTTATTCTGGCTTTGGTTCTGGAGGTTCCAGTCCAAGATCAGGTGATTCCTGTGCTTTGGGCTTCTGGTGAAGGTAACACATCACGGCAGGAGCACACAGTGGGGTGAATCCACTAAACTTGTGAGCCAGGCTGCAAAAGAGAAAAGGACCATGGGCTAGCATCCCACAGTCCCCTTCAGGGGCATGCCCCCACTGACCTAAGGACCTTTCATAAGGCCCCATCTCCCCAAGGGTCCACCACCACCTCCTCTGGGGAATCAAGCTTTTAAGACATGTATCTTTGCCTGGGTGTGGTGGCGCATGCCTGTAATCCCAGCACTCAGGAGGCTGAGGCAGGATGATTGCTGTGAATTTGAGCCCAGCCTGCACTACAAAGTGAGTTCAAGGCCAGCCTGAACTGCATAGTGAAACCATGTCTGAAAAAGACAAAAAAAAAAAAATAAAATAAAAGAGACAAGTATATTTGAGGCACATTCATCCAAACCGTAGCACTGCTGCTTTGTCCTCCCTCAAGGACAAGACAGCAATCACTGGCCACCATGGAATTGCCACAAAACTGCTGGGGACTGGGATCTCCCTGGAAAGTACTTGCCAAAAGTCATGTCCTCTTTCCCTACCAAGGTATGGGAATTTTGGTCCTGGGGCTATAACAGGTAACTTCTGTTGTCATGGTGGGGATTAAATATATTTTTATGGCAATCACAGAGCGTTTCTATCATGTGTGGACGTTTTGCTGTGAGTTGGAAGTCCTTAGCATATCATATTCTTCCCCAAGGTCTGCAACACATTTAGAGGTAACTGGTCTTCTCCATTAGACCCCTCCTTTTGTCAACAATATTCACAGGCACCATGTGCTGTCAGGACCTGCAGTTTAAAGAGAGGATATGGAAACACAAAGAGGAAACGTAAGTGGCCAGAGGCCACCAGCAAATAGAAGCATACCTGGCGCAGCGCTTCAAAGCCGGGTCTGTCTGCACACAAAATATCTTCCACTCCAACAACACAGCCTACCAGATGTAAGATCCTTGGGCTCTCCTTGACTCATCA